TTATAAGTCATTTGTTTTTGCTGTGGTGACTGTAGGAACTACCTGTTTTTTCATTTTCCTGCTCTCTGGTTGCCCTTGGGAATGGATGCTTGGTCAGCTTAGATCAATGAAGTTGACCTCAAGAGTTTAGATGAGAGAAATCTGACAGATGGCAGAGGATATAAAGTGTAAAGCTCCTCAGTTGTAGCTGGACATATTTTCTACTGCGTGGAGAAAAATGCTCTGCAGAGAGAATAGATGTGATGTGCCTATAACAGCTGGAAGGGGGAGGGAAGGATAAGGGAGAGGGAGGAAAAGGAAGGGAGGGAGAGGGGAAAGGGGAGCAGGGAGGAGAGGGCATGCATTCTGGACTGCTAGATCAGAGAGATTAACTTTCTAGCTACAAGGTCAAAATCTCTCTAGTCTTTTCAACTTTTTGTTGCTCAGGTATTTATGCATTTTGAGCTCATAAATTTGTCTTTTTGCCCAAAGTGGCTTGAACTAAATTTTTATTACTCATAACAATATTACTTTTTAAAAGAAAGCTGGCTTTCTCCTTGTATGAATCATCACTCAGATTCACTGACTATTATTAAAAGGGTTAACTCTTTATGGGGGTTAAAACTTCTTGGCTTCTGAAACCTAACCCACCTAAAACTTAGCAAACTACACATACAAATGAGATCTCCCTGAGGTACATACAATAATCTTGCTAGAGTTGAACATTTAGCCTTGTGCTAACCCTGTGATGGTTTATTTTAGGTAACCTAACTAGGCTATAGGATGCCCAGACGGCTGGTAAGACATCTTTCCTGGAGGAGTCTGTGAGGATATTTCTAGAAGAGATTAACATCTGACATCATTGGACTAAATAAAGATCTGCCCTCGCTAATGGAGGTGGACATTGTTTAATCCATTGAGGGCCTAAATAATACAAAAGGTAGAGAATGAGTGGATTTCCTCTTCTGCTTGGGGTGGGTCAACCATCTACTCCTGCACTGGACATCAGAGCTCCAGGTGCAATCCAGCTTTTGGACAAAGACCTGTTGTACAGTTGGGCTCCCCAGTTATCAGGCCTCTGGGCTGAGACTGATGTTCATCCTCAGTTTTCCTGGTTCTCCAGACAGCACATAGCAGATCATAGCACTGCTTGGCCTCCATAACTGTGTGAGCCAATTTTTATTTTTTTTTTTATTTTTTAAAGAGAGTATAAATTAGAATTAAAACAGAAAATATTACAAGTGGTATAGAATTTCACTTAACAGAGTAACGTGAATTTCACAGTATTTGTTGTAACACATAGTGTCAAACTTATTTTATTTATATTTATTTGAATCAAGGTCTTGCTACACAAGATTGTAGTGGTCTTCCTGTCTCAGCCTCTGTACTGCTGGGATTACAGGGGTTCAATACCACGCCCAGTTTCAGAACATGCAGTACCAGGAATTAATCTTGGGTCCTTGTGCCTGCCAGGAAGATGCTCCTAATGCCAAGCTATCTCCCCAGCCTGTGAGTCAATTCTTATAATACATCTGTCTTTCAGGAGAACCCTAACCCAGTATAGATTCTGTACTATATCTGAGTGCACTTAGGAGTTCATGAGCCTCCTGTCTGTCCCTGTTACTGCCTTCTGCACAACCAAGCTCTATACGTGCCCCTACCAACATCTTTCTCTTTCAGTTGAACCAGGGACACTACTGCTACAGGTGTGGAAGCATGGCCTCATCCCGCCACCTTGCCTTTCTCACGATACCTTGTGCCACCCATGGTAGTGGCTGATCATTCTCTTTCAAAGTGAGGTTTTTATGAAAGTACCTGTTAATCAATGACAAATAGTGCAGTCTTGGATAAAGATTGCAGGAATCTTGCTTTCTCTATATAAACTCCAAGGCATAGTGGTTCACACAGAGAAACCTGTCGTGCTCAGTGGAAGCAGAATGCCTTCCTAACCCAGTCCTCCCTGGAGGTCCAGTCTTACCCTTTCTGTGGCAGTAAAGACTCGCTGCTCTTTAGACTGACAAGAATTTATTTTCCTTTTTTTTTTTTTAAAAAAAAATGTATTTAGTACAGGGTCTATAGGGTCTACAGGGTCTCACTAAGTAGATTGGACTCAGCGTGATCTTCCTGTTTTCCGACTTCCAAGCGCTGGGATTACAGGCGCACAATACCACGTCCAGTCTCAATCGCCATCTCAGCGCACCCCAGGAGTGGGAGCGGCATGCTGGAGATTGAACCCTGGTCACTGCATTTGCTTAATAGACTGACAAGAATTTCAGTGAAAACATTTCTTTAATTGCCTCAGAAAAGCTAGCTGCAGTGTTTAATCGCCTTTGTTTGCAAGTTTTCTTTAGAGATCATCTGAAACTATTTCTGATCTGTATAAATCCTTTGTTTTGGTTTTAATATTTGGCTTAAATCTTTAGATATTTTCATTACTTTTATTCTGTAGAAATGGAGACATGAACTGTATCATACACATCTCCTTCCTTCCCTCCCTCCCACCTTCTCTTCCTTCCTTCGTTCCTTCCTTTGTTCCTTCATTCCTTCCTTCCTTCCTGCTTACATGGTTACTTTTTTTTTTTTTTGGTATTTAGGACAGAGTGCACAGGGTATACAGAATCTCACTACTAGATCAGACTCGTAGTGATCTGCCTATTTACAGCCTCCCAAGTGCTGGGATTACAGGCGCATGCCACCATGCCCAGTCTGAATTGCCCTCTCAGGGCACCCTGGGGGTGGGGCTGGCACGGCAGGCTCAGGGATTGAACTCCTGGTGCCTCCATCTGCCTAAGCAGGTGCTTTAATCTGCTGAGCTATTTGGCTGGCTCATGTGGTTACTATTGTGATTCCCACCAGGAGTTAAGTATCTTTTTCCTACTAGGAGTTTAAGGACTAAAGGACAGTTCTCAGGACACAAGTCTTTTTGGTACTGCATGCATAAAAAATGCCATTTGCCCATTCTTTCCTTGTTGACGTTAGAGACGACAGTGGCTTCCAGATTCTCTGGCTCCCACAGGGTGTGTATGCCGGTCAGGGTTTGTTTCAAGATTTGTTCCAGACACTCAGGGAGGCCTTCCATGACCCAGCAGGGCAGGAAAGTGTGCCGGCCCATCTGCCTCTGCCCGCACCCTGCTTCTCCTGCTACTTCGCAGACACATCAGGGGCAACACAAAATCAAAAATAATGGAAGAGGAAGAAGAAGGGGGATGGAGGAGAAGGAGGGGGAGAAAGAGGAGGAGGAGATGGGGAAGAAGAGGAAGTAGAGGAAGGAGGAGGAGGAGCAGAGGAGGAGAAGGAGGTGGAGGAGGAGGAGGAAGGCAGCACTGTGTAAGTGAGCTGGGGACCTTCAGAAATTCTAATGATGAAAGACTCAGTGCAGCCTGCACTTCCTCTTCCTGCTCAGCCCCAGCTGCAGTGCTAGGCCACGCCTGTGTCCTGGGGAGAGCCTGGAGCAAGCATGGATCAAGACGCCATGGGCAACGTTGTCCTGTTGGCTATTGTTACCCTCATCAGCGTGGTCCAGAACGGTAAGGGAACAGGTAGTGTGTGGGTGAGACAGGTGTGTTGTGTGTGTGTACGTACAATTTTGTTTTGTCTCTATTCATTTCTTTTCATTTGACAGTAACGGTTGTGTGTACTTGTATGTGAATTTTCTTCCATTTGATCTTTGTTTTCCTATGGGGTGATGTCTAATCAGCTTTGGAGAGAAAAGGCGCAATGCAAAGTTTCTTTCTTTCTTT